TTTTCACTGACGTTTTGGTCAAAAATTCATGATGTCGTACAATATCCCATCAAGAAATCAAAATAGTAAAATGATTTTGGTAGCAATTGATACTCAACGTGACAGGTTAATTCCAAGTAGCCAATAACAAGCACTTCAAAGACCAGGGTGTATTGCTCCCCAGACCAAATATAAAAAAGATACAGAACTAGAATACAAACTATGGGATATTTCTGGAAAGTAAGCAAATAACAGTCTCAGATCAGAGTGATTTAGCCGTTCTGGTTGTACAGGGATGAATGACTCCACAATTTGTGGAATCCAAAAGTGGCTTGGTTTCCACGACTAAAGCATCTTTGTTTTAGGGAGAATTATTTTGTATCTGTGTTAATTTTTTAAACTTTGATCAGAGCATTTACTCAGGGGAATAAAATAGGATAATTCAGGAAATATAAAGACAATAACAATTTGCTAAATAAATACATGTGTGTTTGTGTGTGTGTGTGTGCCTGCTGCTGTCTATGATCCTGTTGGCCAATATTAGGGCTGAAAAATTAATATAAATCTTATCAAAATCGCAATATGGCCTACAGCAATTTTTCAATCAATCGCAGGATGTGCAATATTTGTTAAAGGCAAAATGTGTTTCCGGTTCCACTTTTAAATTAAATTTTGTCATGCTGCAGAGATGTCCCAGCCTACACGTCATATTCTACAGACTTAAGAAAACATCTTTGTTTCATACAGATCCTTACAAAAATCATACCATAATCATTTAAATGTTTTTCAATAAAAGTGAGAATAACCATCGTAATTGTAATATCAATCAAATTTAATCACAATTAGATATTTTTTCGAAATCGTTCAGCCCTATTCAGTATCATGTTTGAATTTAAACAAGGATCAAACTGTATGTATATTTGACAATCAATATGGTCTGATGTCTCCTCCAGATGTTGAAGACACCGCCTTGTGTGGATTTCATAGCTAAATTCATCAGCAGCCTGTCATCTTCCAAAGTTTCCCCTGTGGTTTTGTGTATTTGGTTGAAACCAAGAAGCAGAGGCTGCTCTCTACCGTAACTGCCCATCTCTCTTCATTCAACTCCAAGTCAAGTTTTGAAATGCCTTGTTTGCACAGCAGGCAATTAGGGTAATGACATGAAAGACCATCAGACAAAATGCCTGAAATAGCATGCAGAGCATGCCACAGTTGATGATGGATTTTCTCTGTCGGCTTTGAAATGCACTGAAATAGTGAGAAATCAGTTGTCAGGCACCCGCAGCGCGTTTGGTGTTCTGCACAACCAGACCTCACACCATCAGTTTTGTTTAGAAATGCTCTCTTTAACAACACAAACACACACACAAACACACGCAGACACACAGGTCTTACACTGACTGCCTACATTCCCTATTCTCTCATGCCAACAGATAATCTTAACCCAAAACTAGCCCCTTGAAGAAGTAAAGAAAGGCCAAAATGACCTCAGACTGAAAAAAGTGGTTCCCTCAAGGATAAAACACACACGCATCTCAATACCAGAGATGCATCATTATAAACAGAGTATTGCATAAAACATTGTATGTGAGGAGCATGAGGACATACTGAAGAATACCAGGCACTAAGCACCGACTCAAGACTCTCCAGGCGAGACAATTTTTGGTTGACCACGAAAGACCGCGCCCAGCACCCAACCACCAGGAATGTCTCTTTCACTGGCAGTGCAAAATGCTCAGCTCAGCACCGACTCCTTAGTCTGAGCGAATGAGGAGGTGAGGAGGTTTGTCACCTGTTTGGAGTTGCAACTGCATCAAAGGTCATTCTGACATGAAATAAGGCTTATGAAGTATAAGTCCTTAGAAATTAGAGAAAAAGGTGAACAAAAGCCATTAACTTTCAAGTGGAACAGACTACAAACACAAAAAATAAGTCTTACCATTGAGATGTACAAGAAAGATGAGACACGCCTGTGCACAATATAGAGTGGCTCAGGATTCGCTGACATACTGCTTTATTTTGCTTCATGGTATTTCAGCAAGCAGCTCTGCAGGTTAGAAATTCAAACATATTAGGTCCCTGCATTACCCAAGGTTACTCCCATATGCAGCAGAAAAAGCACTGGCTATGAGCTAACATGAGATCTCACCTCAGATACAGATGATACACCCTTTTTGCTCATGTATTTCTTAATATGTCACTATATCTTTTACAGAATAAGCTGCTTGCATAATATAAGCTGCTTGCAGAATATGCTCAGTTTTTGAAAAACTGAAAAATACATGATTTGCTGCCATCTAGTGTCCACAATCCATATCCACACAGGAAGTGACACCACTTTTTGAACAGCGCACAGACAATACTGAGTGCATGTCATTAAAAGAGCTGCAACCAAACACACAATCCATCAAACAACAAAAGCTGCTGCACCAATCTGCTCTCGGGTTAAAAATCCTTCTTTCTCATTCTGTAACAACAGCCGAATTCACTTTGAACAGCAACAAAGGTCATGCCCTTTCTCAGACACTTAAGCTATACACACATTCTGAAATTATCCATTCATTTTCTCTGTTATATAACGTCAGTATGGCCACAGTGTCTGGGCTCTCCTGTTTCCCTGCAGTTAAACGCGCTAAACACTACCTTCATATTTCCCAAGAAGGTGTGGGGAGATGGAGGGCCTGGTGACTGAAAACGCCTTGTCATTGCATTGCCTGCATTCCTGTGCCTGGCTCCTGTTGGCCTGAAGACTATTTATACAGCCACAGAAGAGGCCCCTCATAGCCTGCAGGGGAGATACACGTCCTGGGCCACTGACTTTATGACTTCTGATTACACAAACACCTAAAAAAAACCTTGCCTGAAAACTTCCTGAAAGTGAACCCCTTAGAGGGTCCAGCGGACAAGACACGGACTGGTTAAACCCCAGTTATGATAGCAAGGTCTCAGAAGATACCAAACATGTCAGGGTGAAGTGTAGTGAAATGTGTATAAACTGATGGATAAGACATCTAAACAATTTTATGTCATAGTGCACCCTCAATGTTGTTATTTATATAAATATATATAAATATACAGAGCAGAAGTTCGAAGGAGCTATTCTGAATATTTAATAGTTTAAAAGTGACAGTATATACAATATGGACAGTATGGCCCAGGATTACTGAATCTCAGACAGAAAAGCTACTGCAGAAGGACCATCCTTACAGCCCTGAAATCATCACATTAAAATAGACTGCAACTTTAATTAATACAGGTATGTCTCTATAGTAAACAACAAGCAAGTTGACTGAGCTGTGAGGTTGACACATCTAGAAACAAGAGAGGAGTGTATTTTTAGTTTGAACTGGTGCATATAGCCAGGGACAGGGGGTGCTGTCCTCTCAAATGGAATAACAGTGTCCCTGCTTTAACTGGCACAGGTACAAATGGACAAATGTGCTTACACAGAGTGGAAGTCCCCCCCAAACCTGAAACCAGGTGCTCTGTTTGTCAACACAATTCTCATCTCCTGGCCTCCTCCCGTCTCGCTCACCTTATCTCTAATGGCCGGGCTGGATCCTGGAGCTTAGTCTGGTTAACATCACTGACGCAGTGATATAAAGGTCTATTCATATGCTGTGGGTCAGTGCATACTTGGTTCATGCTCATTCAATATCTTGAACTTGACCTGTATATGACTTGACTTCAGCAGGTAAAATGTTTAAATTCTTCAGAGAAAACAACATTTCTTAAAGGGTTATTTCACTCTTGACCTCCACGTGAATACAATACAGAAGAATGAAACTGGGCATGTGGTGCTTACAAAATTGGAAAAAAAAAACCAAGAGCAAAAACAATGTTACCCTGGATAATCCAGTTCACTGTCAACTGTTTTCATTGGAACTACTTTCAACCAAAGAAATGATCTCAATGAAAACTGTTGTTCTGTAAATTATACACACACAGTATACTACGCAGCAACAGATGCGCGCTTTCTGGAAAGATATCTTGCAGTCACTTCCATTGTATTGGGGTTGTTTTTTTTATTACATAAATGCTCCGTATAGCACCTTTCTAGTCTTTTTTTACACTACCTCGCATTCACACACATTCATACACTGAGCCTAAGTGTTCAAACAGAAATTAACATTCATGCACTGGTGGAACAATTCGGGCTTTAGTATCTTGCCCAAGGACACTTCGACATGCAGCCTGGAGGCAACCTCCTGAGCCACAGCTGCCCTGTTATAATTTTTTGTGGACTGACTCTTCAATCAAGAGAATCACTTGGCTCACCAATGCACCATCAACCTCTTTATAGTGGTCAGCTTAAATAGTGTTTATGATTACCTGTATCAGAGAGGGCCAGGACTCACATCACAGATTTACTTCTGGACAATACAGCTACTTTTCACAACAGTGGCACGAACTCTATAAATAAATGCTGCAATACTATATGTGTTCACCCTTAAACTGGAAACAAGACGAGGCTAAGGCAATAACAAGACAATTCTCTTGTCTCTAATGAGAAATCGCTCAATTGTTAATCAGCAAATGGGGGGTATATGGGGGTTGGTCTGGCCATTCAGTAAAAATAATGACTTAATGAGTAACTGAGGCTTGATAAGTCAATTGAACAGAAGTAGATCAACAAAAAATAACAAATAAATAAATATAAACAAAATTGATGAATCAATTGACAGAAGAATACCATTAAACAAATGATGATTAAAATAATACAATGATAATAATTATATAAAGATATAAAATAATTGAATGTTTCAGTAAAGTAACTGCACCTACTTATTAAATCCAACCCCCATAATTAAGCCATATGTTTCAGGTTAAACCAACTGGGTTCTTAAACCTGGTTAAGTTCTTAAAATGCACAGGAAAATGGATATTTAACATCTTCAGTTCCATGACAACGGGGCAAACACCATCTGAGAAAAATCATGTGATAACCACCAAAAGCTCCAGGACAATTACTTAATAGACGTTGTGGTGAGATTGTTTGTTCAACCAAGGTCAGACCTTACCTGACGAGCGGCAGAGGGTTTCCTCTGACTCTGCATTCCAGACGAATGGGGCGTCCTTCTGCCACCTCCTGACTCTTCAGCTTCTGGAGGAAGCAGGGAGGAGACAGCGCTCCTTGTGTGGTTGGAGCTCCAGAGTGTTGGTAGCTTGCAGACACTGCCACTATTTTCGAGTTTCCAGGCTGAGGCTCCAGCCTTGTGACTGGCTGGCTATTCTGTATCTCCTCTTGTTGAACGGGATGCAAAGCAGGAACAGAGACTGAGCCCTGAGGGACTGGTCGCTGACTCCTTGGAGACAGATAGCCACTATCAGGGGAGGAGGAGTCCTCCTCCACCTGCTGCTCCAAATGTGCAGAACCTTTGAAGATGGATGACAGCTCCTCAATGAACGTGGCAGCTCGGCTACAGAACTCTGTGGCTGAAGCTGCGCGATCGTTCAGCTGCAGGCCCTCATGAAGCAGCCTGGGTTTATCCTGCTTATAAATTGGTTGGATGGGTTTGTGGCGGACTATCTTCTCAGGAGGGGAAGGAGCCTCACTGAACACCTGCGTGGGTTTGAGGGGGGTGTTCTGGCTGGAAGAGACTTCAACTGCTGCATTGTCATCTGGGCAGGGGGCTTTGGTCTGGTGCTGCAAGTTTGGACTTGGGGTGAGGTTCTCAGTTGTCTGGGGGGGCACAGGAATGGAGGGAACATGTTGGAGAGCCTGCTCCTGGGATGTAGGATTAGAGGGGCCTGGACATTCAGATTCAATTGTGTCACCAAACGCTTCCCGGGCGAGGTCCAGGCTACGATTAATCTCTTCTGCACTCAAGAAGGCAGTGAGATCTGCAAAGTCCCCATCCAGCTCTGTCACTGAGTCCAGGCAGAGTTCCCCATCAGAGGATGCCTCAGAAAACACACCGCCATCACCCTCCAAAGTCCCGCCTCCTGCCGGGTCCTTCAGCAGCACAGAGATGGGGAGTGGTTGATTCCAACTCCCGTCCTGCATCCTGAAATACACATCAACTGTCATTAACCAGCAGATTACACACATTTATACTGTAGACAGTACAGTTTATACTGTACATGAGATAACTATCAGTAGCAAGGGAAATGACTAACAAGAGGAGTCAAGCTTAAAATTAGATATATAGACTTCACAATACTGGCTCATTTGCTCTTGTAGCCATAGCTGGCAGGATGACTCAGGCCAGTGTTGTCTGGACACAGTTGGTGGGTATTAGCTAAGGCCTTTTTCTGAGGTCATAGTGAACATGAACGGCATTTCTTACTCGCTCTGTTTCTGACATTTTACCCCATCACTTTGCTCTTTGTTGTACTTACTTCACGTGTTTTACTCCACTTTAACAGGTAGTTGAAAATAATGATTTTTTACTGATTTCAATCCAATCCAATAGATTTTTGAGTTATCAATCAATCATTTTGCCTTTCAACTGATACAATGAAAGTGTCCAAAGTTCTTATTTTGTCTGACCAACATTCAAAAAATCTAAAGGTCATTTCTTTTACAATATGACGTGGAGGAAAGCTAAAATTAAATAAAATAGTTTCATGTGTTTTGTTTATTTTTGATAAGATTAAACAACTATCAAAACAGTCACTGATACATTTTCTGTCAATTGTTTAATCAATAAATCGACTGATCCTTATAAGTACCGATATTGTAGGTAAAGTTGGGCCCATACCAAACAATATACAGAATATATAGCCATATATTTTAAGTACAAAAGTCCCGTATAAATTCTGAATTTCTTGTCATATGTTCATACCGTCAATTTATATTACATTTTCCCAAACTAAAGCTGTGCCAAAAAATGATGGAGAGTCACAGAGGCCAAGGGCATCTTAAACAATAATAAATTAAAATAAAGTGTACACAAGACGACACACCTTGTGTACTGTACATTTATGTCACTTGTTGCATCCTTCCTTATTGTTCACACATAATGTTCTAGTGTCACTTTTTGACTCGGATGTATCGGTTACATGCACATGTAGTTTAAAACAGGTATGTCTCTTCAGCTCTGATCTTTCGGGACACTCTTGGCGTGTAGGATGATATGAAGCTGTTGGTGTATATACATGCAGTGTGACACTCAGTGCCTCATGGCGTCCTGAAGACCAGCTGTTGTTATTTTTAATCTCCTGGGCTATGTTTCACGGCAGCAGCAGCAGCACAAACTCACCCACCCTGAGCTCAGGAGCGAGATTCTTGAAACTCAGTCGCTACCTTCAAACACACTCAGGTACAACTAGGCACACACAAACATACATTAACAGTCACTGGGCTAAAGAGTTAAACAGACAATCCAAGACTCTCAAGCGTTATATTCTCTGAAAAGAACAAAAAAAACAGCACAGCGCTTATTAAATATGAATGTGGAAAATGTTAAACAGTGAGGCTGATTGATAGAATGTTAACAACTGTCAGTGCTGTCAAAGATTTCATTTAAATACTTATTGTATGTTAAATATGTATTTTCACAGTATTCGCTATATTTAACACAAATAAATGGTTTAAAATGAGAAGGAATTTAAAAGTCCTTAAAATAACATGACAGAGAAGATATTGTATACCATGTTTGAATTTGACAGATATTGTATATTACCACTACATTTAAAACAGTTAGACTGTTACATTAGATGAATTAAGTGATAAACAATTAACAACCAAACCACCAAATGCTTTTGTATCAATAAAACAGAGCAAAGCTTACCTTAAAGTGGGCTATGTGTCCAAATGCTTTCTCCTGGTTTTGTGGTTCCAGGTTTGTCTTGTTTATTAAGTCAGAATGAGTCAAAAAGAAGCGTCTCTTTCCAGAAGAGCAGCCTTATTGGTCAGACAGTATCTCTCAGGTTTAGGCTCCAATTGCATACTGCCTCTGCAGTGGCCTGCTGTCCCATCTGTCCCGGTTTCTAACTTCTCACTGTGTGGGGGCTATATTTGGCCCCTGGCTCAGGTTTCACAGCCAGGATACTGGCAAGAAGAGAGAGTGTTCTGGTAGACCAGGGGAACAGAAGGTAGTGATGACATTTTTACAGAACCAGTACTTGTTAATCAAACACACTTAACAGTGCAACCTGTTATAATATCTGACACTGCACACTCACAATATGAACTAAAAATCCACCAACATTCAGAAGCTCTCAATGTGCACTGATCACTGTTAAAACCACAGGTTTGGATAATGAAGAGATATCAAACGTCCTGCGAAATACATTAATGCAACTGGCTGGGTAACAGTTTGTCTAGTGGGGTCTGTCACATCTGTCAAGGTTATTTTAAAAGCAAGCGTCCAGGTAGCTTAAGAAGGGAACTTGTACTCTCAGGCGGACGACTAGAGGGTTTGACAGAGGAGGAGCAGGGGTCCTCAGGCAGGCGGCCTGGGAGCAGGGCAAAAGCAGGGCTGGAAAGTTCAGGCGGCGGCCTGGGGTCAAGTCAAAAGAGCGGAGGATGTCCGGAGGACTAACACGAGGCCGGTACCAAGGGCCGAACGGGTCCGGCAGGCAGCCCAGAGGCATAGGCCAAGGGCTGAGCAGGTCCACAGTGCGAGCACCGACAGTGGAGGTCGGGCTGGAGACCAGCAGCAAAGGCAGGACGACTCTGGAGGCTGCGAAGGCAGGACTACTCTGGAGGTCGACCAGGAGCCAGGTCTGGTCAGGTCTGTAGCCCTGTGACATGACTGGAGATCAGGACCGAAGTCTGGTGGCTGGAGTGCGGGACAAGAGGCAAGTGAAAAGGCAGTACGACTGGAAGCCAGGGGCTCCACCTGCCTGAGCTTGCAGCTTAGCAGGAACGGGTGCTGGCTAGATTGCCACCTGGACACGAGGAGCTGGACCTCGGACTGTGCACAAGCAGCAGGAGTCAGCCGGGACATGAGGAGCAGGAGACAGCCGGGCTGTTGAAACCAGGAACAGGTGTCGGCTGGACCACTGACTGGTCGTAATTCTGTGGCGCAGGGCAACTGAGTCTCTGTGGTACTGGGCAGCTTAGTCTCTGTAGCACTGTGCAGCTCAGTCTCTGGGGCTCTAGCAGCTCAGTTTCTGGGGCTGGACAACTCAGTTTCTGGGTCTCCTGGCAGCAGGATGATAGAGCTGAGCAGCGAGGACACGAGTTAGCCGGGACATGAGGAGCAGGAGACGGCCGGGCTGCTGATTGGAAACCAGGAACAGGTGTTGGCTGAACCACTGACTGGTCGTAATTCTGTGACCCAGGGCAGCTCAGTCTCTGGGGCACTGGCAGCTCAGTTTATTCGGCTGGGCAACTCAAGTTTCTGGGGTTCTGGGCAGCTCTGTCTTTGGGGCTCTGGGCAACTCAATCTCTGGGGCTCTGGACAGCTCAGTCTCTGGGCAGCTCAGTCTCTGGGCAGCTCAGTCTCTGGGGCACTGGCAGCTCAGTCTCTGGGGCACTAGCAGCTCAGTCTCTGGGCAGCTCAGTCTCTGGGCAGCTCAGTCTCTGGGGCACTGGCAGCTCAGTTTATTCGGCTGGGCAGCTCAGTCTCTGGGGCACTAGCAGCTCAGTCTCTGGGGCACTAGCAGCTCAGTCTCTGGGCAGCTCAGTCTCTGGGGCACTAGCAGCTCAGTCTCTGGGCAGCTCAGTCTCTGGGGCACTGTGCAACTCAATCTCTGGGGCTCTGGGCAGCTCAGTCTCTGGGGCACTGGCAGCTCAGTTTATTCGGCTGGGCAGCTCAGTTTCTGTATTGCTGTGCAGCTCAGTCTCGGGGCAGCAGCAAGGACGATGAGTGTCTCCTCTTGTGAAAAGAGTATTGTTAGGTGCCAGTGTGGCCACTCAAACACTTCATAGGGGTCTTGGAGGATTTAGGGAAAGCAGCCAGCAGAATCAGGACAGGTAGGTAGTGGGCTAGCTGATTCAGAGGCCAAGCAGGTACAATTCAAGGGTTTATAATAATAAAACAAAACGTGTACAGGCTTACAGTAAGGTAAAGCAGGCTATGGTCAAAAACAGGTAAGCTGGCCTTAAATACACAAGTAAGGGGAGGATAACTAGACACAGGTAAAACTAATTACGGCAGTGCAGGCACTCAGACATGCAGAAAACCACATAAAGTAAAGTAACATAAGACACATGAGGAAGAATCTTCAAAATAAAACAGGAAATAACAAATCAAAAACCCCAAAACGATATCAAACGGGACATGGTGAAGTAACAACAGCTTGTCAACATTGCCACTGTGTCCTGCTGAATTGACCCGATGACTCCAGATCACCCATTTACCTGTCTTACCTATGGGTATGTTAAAATGGGCCTGGGAGCATATAGCAAAAACTAGTGCTGAGATAGTAGCGAGTTTTGACAAAGCTGGCAATGCTGTTTACATGAATCATAAATACAAGATTAAAATAAGGCACAGATCCATAGCATTTTAAACACTCTGCCCAGCCAACAAATGACAGATAGAATTGCCTCATTTGGTACACCAGAGAAAAATGGCACCAAGGTGAGACTGCAGACAGACAGACAGTTAAAGACCATGCAGCCTCACTTGGTCTATTTCTAGGCCACTATCACATTTTGTGCTCTCAGAGCTATTCTGGTTCTTCATCAATCTACTGATTACAGTTAAGTGCCAGTGATAAGTTTGGAAGGAATTTCCACTGTAATAACTATCTACTTCGCATGTGCACACACACACACACACACACAGTTACAATTACCTACAACAACCTACAGACTATCTGTGCTGTGATTTATGTAAGAATAGATAGATGTAGTGTGTACAGCTTGTATAACAGTGCAAATTTGCTGTCCACTAAAAATAACACATCACACAGCCATTAATGTCTAAACCGTTGACAACAAAAGTGAGTAAACCCCTAAGGGAAAATGTCCAAATTGGGCCCAATTAGCCATTTTACCTCCCTGGTGTCATGTGACGCATTAGTGTTACAAGGTCTCAGGTGTGAATGGAGAGCAGGTGTGTTTAATTTGGTGTTATCGCTCTCACAATCCCTCATACTGGTCACTGGATGTTCAACACGGCACCTCATGGCAAAGAACTGTCTGAGGATCTAAAAGAACAATGGTTGCTCTACATAAGGATGACGTAGGCTTCAAGAAGATTGCCAAGACCCTGAAACTAAGCTGCAGCACGGTGGCCAAGACCATACAGCGGTTCAACAGGAGAGGTTCCACTCAGAACAGGCCTGGCCCTGGTCGACCAGTTGAGTGCACGTGCTCAGCGTCAAATCCAGAGGTTGTCTTTGGGAAGTAGATGTATGAGTGCTGCCAGCATTGCTGCAGAGGTTGAAAGGGTGGGGGGTCAGCTTGTCAGTGCTCAGACTATACACTGCACACTGCATCAAATTGGTCTGCATGGCTGTTGGCTTCTAAAGATGATGCACAAAAAAGCCCACAAACATTTGCTGAAGACAAGCTGAAGGACATGGATTACTGGAACCATGTCCTGTGGTCTGATGAGACCAAGATAAACTTGAACAAAGTGTCTGTGGTGGCAACCAAGTGAGGAGTCCATAGACAAGCGTGTCTTGCCTACAAGCATGGTGGTGGGAATGTCATGTTCTGGGGCTGCATGAGTGCTGCCGGCACTGGGGAGCTACAGTTCATTGAGGGAACCATGAATGTCAACATGTACTGTGTCATACTGAAGCAGAGCATGATCCTCCCTTCAGAGACTGGGCCACAGGGCAGTATTCCAACATGATAACGACCCCAAACCCACCTCCAAGATGACCACTGCCTCGCTAAAGAAGCTGAGGGTAAAGGTGATGGACTGGCCAAGCATGTCTCCAGACCTAAACCAGCATCTGTGGGGCATCTTCAAACGGAAGGTGGAGGAACACAAGGTCTCTAACATCCACCGGCTCCGTGATATGAAGAGGACTCCAGTGGCAACTTGTGAATCTCTAGTGAACTACATGCACAAGAGGGTTAAGGCAGTGCTGGAAAATAATGGTAGTAGGGCTGAACCCAAATAGTCGAAGATTTGATGCTTCAATGGGCGGAGCCTGATTCGACTGTCAAGCTTCACAGCGAAACAAGGATCATGCCATTTTGGCAATATGGGGGTGCTCAACATCTGATTTCACATAGAACTACCAGTTTTCTCCCAGTAAGTTAATATACAGCCTATTACAAAATACATTTCAACTTTTAATGCTGTAAATAAACATGTAAAGAAAAAGAATAATGTAAAGAATAAAACCTTCAATAAATGTTTTTGAAGTGTGTAAATAAATCAAAAATTGTAACCCTAACCCTGGCTCGTCTGTGCGCATGTGTAGGCGTAGCGTGTATGTGTGAGGTGGCAGAAGAGGATTTGCTGAAGAGACTGAGCCCCGGCTTCACTGGTTTTGTGCCAAGTTGTCCGCATCTCGGGGGACTTTCGGATAATTTATCACAGTTGATGAACCACACAAATAATATTTTATCATTTTTAAATAGCCGGCTACTTGAAATAGACCCGCGAGGAACCGTGCATGCAGTTGTTGGCAGCAAGGAATGCACACAAAACTCTGCATAAGACCTGTGAATGGCAGGCGAGAGAGAGAGAGAGAGAGAGAGAGAGAGAGAGAGAGAGAGAAAAGGGTCAACAATAAGCCTCAGGATAGCTGGAAATTTACAGTGTAAGTTGAATGAATAGCAGCTTCTCAAGATTAAAGCATGTAACCCCCAATCGCCACGCACAAAATTATTCGACTATCAGTCGACTATAGGCCGGACTTGACGATTCTGTTTCGACTCTGTAAATCCTTAGTTGGGGACAGCCCTAAATGGTGGCCACACAAAATATTGATACTTTGGGCCCAATTTGGACCTTTTCATTAGGGGTGTCCTCACTTTTGTTGCCAGCAGTTTGGACATTAATGACTGTGTGATGTGTTATTTTGAGGGGACAGCAAATTTACACAGTTGTGGCTGTACACTCACTACTTTACATTGTAGCAAAGTGTCATTTCTTCAGTGTTGTCACATGAAAAGACATCAGATATTTACAAAAATGTGAGGGGTGTACTCACTTTTGTGAGATACTGGATATATATGTGTGTGTATGTGTGTGTGTGTGTGCGCGCGCCTGTGTGTGCTATTATGTCTCTCTTGATGCATGTAGACTTAATTCAAGAGTAATCATAAATGCCATCATTGCCCTCCATTGGTCACAGTAGTAACTACATTACTGTCCATCAAGTTTAGAACAATATAAACAAGGAGTTAATAACTTTTAATTATTCTGAAGGTTTGTGTCATCAGCCCAATTGCTTCAATATTTTTATATGACACTGATACACTTACTGGTACTTATTCATTTCACTCATCTCCAACACCAAATCACTTCTAGGTGATGTTTTTATTAATTATTTTAAGATTTTTTTTTCAGTCATTGAAAAATCTGGAAAAGAATAGTGCATTAAGATTCTCTGAGTTACTTACTTTTTTTTATTAAATCCCCTTAATTAATTAAAATTACCAAAGATGCCTGTATGTTATTTGAAGAGGTCAAAAAAGTGGGGGGTGGGGGAAACAACAACTTGTAATTGATGTTTAGCCTATAAGCTACTCCACTAGCACCAATAAATGCTGACAGACATAATAGCTGATGCCTTTAAACAACATTAAAATAAAATACTTACAATAGAGAGAAGTGTAGTTACACATTAAATCCACGCAATGACAGACGCTCGAATGGCAACCACACATATAAAATACCATTACCATAGGAACGTTACACACTATTTTGAAAGCCAAACGACTACAATCAATAAACCATTACAACATTTGCTTCAGTGTGGACATAAATCATGTATGTATAAAGAGGAATTCTCTGTTTTTAGAAAGATCCGCTTCTACTATCATTAATTCATCATCAATGTGCTGCCTTTTATGCTGTTTACAGTATATTACCTAAGCAGTCAAAGTATATTCAGCCATTAACGAATTGCGTTTTCCATCGAAACAAATTTGCCTTCCCACGGCTTCCGTTGCTTCACAGTGATTGGTCATAAGAAAAATATGGCGCCGTCCGCGTAACTGTGAAAACATCATGAAGAAAACTTGTTAAATGTATTGATTCGCAGTGCAGGGCAGTTTTTAACGCTTTCACAGCGGTAACTGTTACGTTGCGGTTTTTATGTCGCCTTCTGTAATGAACACCACTGTGAAATTAGCCACGCAGTTTTCTCTACATTAACGTTGGCTCGGTAACAAACCTGCTAGCATAATATTCAACATTTGAACAGAAGGTGGTCGGACAGCTCTTCACGGTAAGAGTGCAGCGCGGACTGTTTAGGTCGTGGCTAGATGTAAGGTTACCTACCTGCAAAGCCACAAAATGTATGTTTGCCATTTTAGTTAGAACAAAAGAAATTATCAAAATAGTTGCCGATTTATTTTCTACACAAGCACAAATATGTAACAACAACGGCTCAACTGTGTTCTCTTCCTCAAGCAGGATTACATTATCAGTGCATTTCCTACGTTTTTTAAAAGTTTAGTTGTCTAAATCAATGTATGTTATTTAATATTTATTAAAACCTTTTACATCTTCCAGCCCCCAACATGCCTGCCTTCCGGCAAGTGGGAGAGAAGCAGCTTCCTAACCCTGTACTGTGTATGGCATGGTCTCCCAAAAGGGATCTTATTGCTCTGGCCAACACAAGTGGAGAAGTAGGCTTAAAAACCTTTTTTGTTAAATCCAGAAAAATGTCTTGCTATCTTTCATGTTTTTGTAATTTTATGGTTCATGTTGTCCGTAGTTGCTGCTGCATCGCTTGGCTAGTTTCCAGCGTGTTTGGAGCTTACCACCTAGTGAGTATACTGGGAAGGAGATCACTGCACTTGCCTGGCGACCAGATGGCAAAAGTAAGGAATGACATGTGTACATCTTTCTGTTGTTAGTCGTCTGCATGTTGATGGGAACATGAAGCTGTTATTCTGTCTTTAATCTCCAGTATTGGCCTTCAACCTCAGAGACACTAAGCAGGTGGTCCTGTGTGGTGTTGAGAAAGCAGAGATCCTTCACGTGTTTCCAATGCAGAACGCTGTCACCTGCATGCACTGGATGGAGGTGATGGAGGAGAGCAGGTATGCATGACTCGGCTCTGGGATCAAACCTGTGGCACAAAGGATATCTGATTTTTGTATAATGTGAATGTGGTCATTTTGATGTGTTTCAGTGCCCTCAGCTCCTTCTACAACTCAGAGGATGAATCCAAACTTTTTCTTCCCAAATTACCAACCCTCCCCAAGAGGTAACACTAGCATTCATTACACATCATATTATTAGGAAGCTACTCTTGGGTCGATTAAATAACATTTGTCCAAACTTTTGTTTTTCCCCAGCTACAGCACAACTTCAAAGATCTTCAGGTGGGGTAGTATTTTAATACACAACTCATTTGTCCCATATCAGTTGTGATGGCATATTGTGATAGCAGCTATATGTATTTATATATCTGTGTTACAGTGAGGAAAAGTCTGATGAGATAATGAATCTCCTGGGAGAAGTCAGGTAAATAAGAACGTTTAAACAACACACAGAAAAACGATATCTGAGTTTTTTTTAATGCCTGTTTGACTGGAAATCATTTCATCATGTTTCCATACAGGCTGAATGTACTTGTTCTTGGAGGAGACTCTGGCTTTGTGGAGCTTTATGCCTACGGGATGTACAAGATTGCCACTCTAACAGGGGTAAGGCTCTTTCAGTCATCCGCAAGGGTTGTTACATCTTCTAAAATAATTATTTAATCAACTTTACACTGATATATTGGTCGCTGATAAAACATGTAAAAATTGATCTGAAGTGCAGAATAGTGTCATTAAACAGCAAAACCAGAAGTCTAACTTAAATTGTATTGGACTGTAAAACCATCTTAAAATAATTTGTATTTCAACAGCCTCAACAATTACTGTAAAGCTGAACCATCACTTCTCTGACACTGTCTCAACAAACATTGGAAAATTCAAAACAACAACTTAATAATCAATCAATTATTCACAAAGCAAATATAATGGATTTAAGTACCCCGTAGAGTTGTACCTATGACACAACAAAGATATTTGAAAGATCTGGTATATTGACAAAAAGAATAGTAATAGTAAACGTCTAAATGTAATGCCACTCTACAGGTATCGGGGACCTGTCGCAGCCTGAGTCTGTCAAGTGATCTCAAGTCTTTGTCTGTCATCTCAGAGGTCGGTTCTGCTGACAACAATGCAGAGATCTGCTACATTCAGGTGAGGTGGATGATTTGATTTCATGTTCCAGTTTTTGTAAACCTGCTTTTCCTTCCCTGTGTACTCATCTCTGCTCTAACTTGCATTTTCAGCTAGACACAGGGTTGTTGTCAGACTGTCTGCCAGAGGTGACCAGGATGGCACGCAAGTTCACCCACATCTCCACCCTGCTGCAGTACCTGCACCTCTCACTTACATGTATGTGTGAAGCCTGGGAGGACATACTCATGCAGATGGATCTTCGACTCACTAAGTTTGTTCAGGTCAGTAGTCGTGGTTTGTAGTCTAAATTTGCCAAAATGAGACAGCACGACAAATGTCTTATTTCCCCCTCTTCGTAGGAAAAGAACACAAGCACTCAAGTTCAAGATGAGTTTCTGGAGCTTTTGCTATGGGGACAATCAAGGTAATAATATAAGCAAATTCTATTGTTAGTATTTGCTCATTATCATGTAGCAATATTTTGTCCTGTAGATGGCAAAATATCTTGGGCTAGTTAATCTGCTTTTTTATTTTAATTTGTAGAAGTTATTGCAGGATTGAGTCTAATTGTTCTTACCAGTGGCTCTCTGCTTTCATGTAGCCCTGAACTACAGGCTCTTCTCATGAATCAGCTGACGGTCAAGGTGAGAGAAAGAGGTGGTGCAAATGTTCCTCGTAGTGTTTTAATTTGAATTAATATGCAGTTCAGATCTCCCCTAACACATCTTGTTTATGTATTCTATTTTCATCATAGGGCCTGAAGAAGCTTGGCCAGTCCATTGAGTCCTCTTATTCCAGCATCCAGAAGCTGGTGATCAGCCACCTGCAGAGGTATGTTTAGCCTTTCACTTCTCCTCAATGTTGCCTTCTACCAGGCATTTCTCAGTTAAAATTTCGCCTTCCCTTCTGTTTGCTGCAGCGGCTCTGAGGCTCTCTTGTATCACCTCAGTGAGGTGAAAGGCATGTCCCTGTGGAAGCAGAAGTTTGAGCCTCTCGGTCTGGATTCAGCAGCTATAGAAGGTACAATGTCCCTAACCTGCATGCTTAGTAAAAATCCAGCTTTATCACAATAATCATCAATTTAATCATCAGTAACCACATGTGTGTTTTATGTTTTCAGGTGCTATCACAGCAGTGGGCTCATTTTCTCTGAAAGCCAATGAACTTCTGCAGTGAGTTTATTTTTTCAATCAGAATTATTTAGCTTCTTGTAGCATTAGCAATGCTCATGTTACCGTGTGTGTACATTACGTACATACAGTAAGTGTGTATCTGCTGCTGTCCTGTTTCATACGTGCTCCGCCCTCTTAATGGGCTTCGTTATTATTTTACTCTCCAAGTCACTGCCCCAGCACCCTGAAAAACATCTATACCTTTACTTTCACCTTTGCTCGATGTGGGTGGGCCACTCTGGTAGCCGCTAAGCCTCCAGCAGCAGCTACTGCCGCCTACACCTGCATTGAGGGCTGGGAAGGGGACAGTGGTGTGACGGTGCTGGTGGATTCAGTCAGGGTTTGTTTCCTCCCGCCACCCAGTGAGTCAGTGCGGGATGTCACGGCCCTATCTGGCCACCCCCTCTGCCTCCCCCCAATGTGCCCAGGCCCGCAGCAGGTTGACGATTATGTTTAACCCAAAGCCTGTTACTACACACATGACTAATACAGTATCTTATGTGTCACTGCTCAGCATAGTCACTGCTTTTATTTTGTCATTTAGGGTGATTGACAAGAGTATGAAGAACTTTAAAGCCTTTTTTCGGTGGTTGTATGTAGGTAAGAATACAATTGACAAATTACATTCATACTGTTTGACATGCAGTAGTTTGTTAGATGTCAAATATAACATTTTGATTATTGTTTTTGTCTGTTTTGTTTCCCCACAGCTATGCTAAGAATGTGTGAAGAGCATGTACCACCAGAACTCAACAAAGTGAGTTATCAAAGGTGCTGAGAGAGATAGATGTGTGATTATTTTGTTCTGAAATTATTTTATAATTTTAACATGTCGGTTAATCCCTTAGATGACTCAGAAGGACATTGCCTTTGTAGCTGACTTCTTGTCTGAGCACTTCACTGAGGTGAGATCGGCACAATGACACTTGCACAGACAAACTCCTCATTACATCTCTGTTTTGATACAGCTTCACTATCCCACCTTAGGTCATCAAGTCTGAGGCTATTAGTGGTTCCCCACACTCATTTTAAGACCAGAGGGGGTCGATCATTTCAGGGCTTTCTAGGCTGTGAAATGCATTGCCTCCCTTTCTACATTGCCTAAGTTCTGTTGATTCTTTTAAAAAGAAATTGAAGACTGTTATTCAAATAGGCTTTTAGTTAGAACAGGATTTTATTGCTGTCTAATTTATGTATTTCTGTGTTTTTATGTATTGTATCACACTTTGTTGCGAAGCACTTTCCTTTGTTCAACATATTTATGGCTTTTTGCTTTCTGGTTTAACAGAATGAAGAACTGTTTGACCGTAAAGGGAAGTACTTCAACGTAGAACGAGTTGGTCAGGTAAGTAGTTTTGTGTTACATTGCTTCAAGTATTTCTCAATGGAGCAGCTGTCATACAGCATTCTGGTTTTTCTTTCATATCCATTTCCAGTACCTGAAGGATGAGGATGAGGACCTTGTGTCTCCACCCAACACAAAGGGAAACCAGTGGCTGAAGTTTTTACAGGAGAGCATACACTTGAAGGGTGATCTTGACTTTAGGAGATACAGAAATCTGTTATAAATTATTACTACTTTTATAGTATAGTTTTTGTGTTTTGGCTGAGAGTAAGTGGTTTATTTAGCTGGGCCTCAGTTTTACTTAAACTACCACGATGTCATAACTAAGAGATAAAATGTTTGACTGTTTTATCTAGAGAGCCCTTTGCTGTTTCCTTCATATCCTCAAAAGTCTTTGCACTTTGTCAAGAGAATGATGGAGAATGTGATTGAGCATTGTCTACAGAAACCTGCAGTGAGTGTCTTGCAGCATTTTACACACACTGTAGCCACTATACAATATTTTATCTAAGGCAAATATAAATGGAATGGAAACTTTTTTTGTGAAATTTTAAATTCTTTTTTAATTTGGATGCAGGAAGTGATTGGGAAGTCTGTGAAAAAGGCCCTCTTTTTGCCCCTGTACACTGTACCAGAGAAGTATGATTTTATGTCTCTCTTAATAATTTGTAATATTTTAATATATATTTTAAATATGACTTAATTAATGTGATTAAATTTGCACTTATTTCTTCGTGTCCATTGTCTTTCTAGCTCTGAAAACACTCAACGACTTTTTGAACTTCCATCTTTGTACGTAAAAAAACAAACATCCTGGAGTTTCCTAATGGTGTGTTCAGTCAGATGGGGGTTGGTATTAATAATATTTCTTTGTTGTCCCACAGGTGGAATGACAAGAAATCCAAAATGCACTATGTTTTGTTCTGCATGCCAGAAATTTCAACCTGCAAGCTTTACCTCTTACGTAAAGGAACAGACCCAAACAGGTACATTTGTGTGAATGTGGGGGGGGGATGTGAGTTTCTTTGTATATTCAATCTGTGTTTAATAACTACATTTGTTTTTTGCTCGCACAGACACATCCCCAACAGTGTCATGTCCATTGACCTCAGCCATCATCGTGACAATGCAGATGATGATGATAATGCTGCAGCCCAGTTAGTCCCTCTCATGTCATTCCTACAAGTTAATTGACATAATGCAAAGTATTTCCTCAGCGAGTGATGATGTTGCTACCATAACTTAGCATGGTTTTCTTTTTCAGGCCCAAGTATGTATACAGCTGCCTGGATGCTCGTTTCTATGACGATGAAATGCTAACTGTGGTCTTGCAAGGATCAGAAGAAGAGAACCGAAGGCGTGTCCTGGCTCAGGT